GTTGAGCCACGCGGTCGCAGTCGGCACCTCCCGAACCTCAAATACCGTATACCGCCACTCCGAAATCTCGATTATGTTTTTATAAATCCAGACTTCCTTGTTTCCTACCTCCAACCACTTCAAAAATGTCAATAGAACCCATAAAATCGTCCATCTCTTTTCAGCCCGTCTCCTACGAGGAGATGTTCCTAGGCGACGACACATCCACTCTCCCGCCAGCCAAACAAAAATACCTTCAAGCCGTCTGGGAGCTCTTCCACACCGAGCTCGTCTTCCTCTATCGCCAGCTCTTCGTGCTCCGCGATGTTTACAAGGAGCCGCTGAAGAGGTGTCAAGTCGAAGGGTGTCTGCTGCTTGTCGAGCCTGACCTCCTTTTCGGAAATTTGGATCAACTTTGCAGGTTTAATTGAATTTAAGTTAAAAAAGAGAAAAAAAATTCAATTTAGAATCTCGCGAACATTCTGTCAGTCCTTCCTCTCGCTTCTCAGTACCGTAGACAAGGAGGTTTGGGATTGTACACAGCTGGTGGTCGATTTGTTTGAGAGGGTGAGTATAAGTTTCAAATTGTGTAAAATGTTGTGTTCTACATTTTTGCAGTTTATAGTTGTACTGTTGCTAAAACGGCTCTTGAGATATGCGCCTTTAAAGATACAGTATGGTATCTATTTGAAGAATACCAAAATCGCAAACTTTGCGCTCAATTATCTCGGTTCCTATAAAAGATATCAAAATTTTATCAACTAATAAAACGTTTCTGATATAATGATAAACATTTTAATAGTTTACCACTTTTTGATATCTCTCATAGGAGCCGAGATAATTGAGCTTAAATTTGACGGTTTAGGTGGGCTGTTTTTTTTCTAGCTTTTTTTAAAGGCGCATATCTCAAAAACCAACTATACAAAAGTTGCATACTAGTAAAATAAAGCTCTAAATTTGAATTTTTCAGTTCTCCAAAGGCCCATCAACGATCTCCGCCTATCAGGCCTACTGTATCAACTACAAAGCAACCATGGAATATTTGGGATCCATCCGTCAGAAGGAAGAGCGATTCACAGAATTTGAGCGAATCTGCTTGGCCGACGAGAGATGCTTCAGACTACAGCTCGAGGATCTGCTAATCGCACCACTTCAAAGGATAACGCGTCTCCCGATCCTTCTCCGTGAGATTCATAAACGATCCGAAGATGAGGAGAGTAAGGGAAAAGTGGAGAAGGTGATCGACACAATGACCGAATCGCTGAGGTCCATCGATGATAGTGTGCAGTGGCTGCACAATTTTGAACGGCTCCAACAGTTGCAGACACAGGTTGTCTGGCCGAATATTAGCGAGCTGGAGCCGAAATCTTATATTCCTGATGTAAGTTTTGGGGATATGCCCGCCAATAAGTCGCTGATCATTTTCAATCATCGGCGACACGTTTCCGATATCGGCGACATGTTTCCGATAATCTCCGACATGTTTCCGATATCAGTGACACGTTTCCGATAGTCGGCAACTTGTTTCCGCTAATCGTCGACGTTTACCTCTTCCCCCTTCCAGTTTCTGCGCGTCGCACTTTCCCGTCAATTCTGTGAGAACCTTCTTGCTCATCCTCGTCGAAAGCTGATTCATGAAGGACCGCTGGAACTTGTGGAAAATGGTCGTACTGTGGATATGTATGCATTTTTGTTCAACGACATGTTCGTGCTCACAAAGACCAAGAAATGTGCTTCCAAGTTGAAAGTGGTGAGTGAATTTTTGTTTCGGGGGGACACAGTGGTCGGCGATGGTCCGCGATTGCCAGCGATAGTTGAAAAATGGTCGCCGATGATCGGCGACTATCGGAAAATGGTAAACGATAATCGGCTAATATTGGAAAATCATCGCCGATTAACAGTGGTCGGTCGGTGGTAGTCGGCGATGGTCGGCGATGGTCGACAATGATCGGAAAAGGTCGACGATGGTCAACGGTGATCGGAGTTGATCGGCCGTTGGTTGGCGGTGATCAGCGGTGGTCGGCCGGTACTCGACAATAGTCAGCGGCGGTCAACGTTGGTTACCGTTGGTCAGCCAATGGTCGTCGATGATCGGCCAATGGCCGACCGATGGCCGGCAATGATCGCCGACAGCTGGAACAAGATCGCCGATGATCGCCCACTACTACGATATATTTTTCCCTTTCAATTTTTCAGAAAGGAGTCCCACTCGGCAAATCCGAGCACTACATTGTTCAGCGTCAACCAGTCCCACTTGATTCTTGTGTTTTCTGTGATGCCGATTCCAACGATCAAGCTACACCGAGTAAGTGTTTGAAAGTTTAAAGGTCTGAAAGTAGGCGGAGCCTAACGTTTCAGTTTCAGGTTTTTCATTATCACCATTGTCCAATTGTAAGATAAAACTAGTTGTAATTCCTTTAGAATCCCCATTCAGGACTTCCGATAGCCGATTTTTCTAATCCAAAATTTTACTTTTTTCAGTGTCGCTGAAATTCGCGTTCGTTATTATTCATTTGACACGATACTACCAGGTGGTTGGTATCTACACACTCCAGGCGGCTGATAAGGCGGATAAGGAACTGTGGATTGAGAAATTCCAGGAATCGATTGAGAATTATGAGTCGATTCAGTTGAAGGACATGCTCAAGTGCACGCCATTGTTCTCCAGTTTGAGCTTGAGAAGGTAAGGCGAAAAAATTTCCGGCGACCGTTAAATTGTGGTCGGCGGTAATCGGCGGTGGTCGGCCATTAGTCGACGACAGTCGGCGATGGTCGGCAGTGGTCGGCCGATAGTCGGCGAAAGTCGGCAATAGTCGGCGATGGTTGGCCAATGAACGGCAGTAGTCTGCGACGATCGGCGATGTTCGGCGATGGTCGGCAGTGGTCGGACGATGTTGCGATATGTTCGGCAGTAGTCGGCAATTGATCGGCGACAATCGGCAATCATCGGCGATGCTCCAGCGATCGCTAAATTCCAAACGAAAAAATCCAATAAATCTTTCAGATGCTCCAGCTCTCGTCTCATGTCCAAATCCGACCCTCCAAACACTCCAAATCTCTCAAAAGACGAGACAAAAGAGGAGAAAAAAGAGTGCTGCTCATCGGCCGCCGCTACCAATCAATAATTGATTTTTTATGATCACAAATTATATATTTTTTTTGTAATGATCCTTTTCTTAATACATTTGCAGACATGTGTATGTACAATATTTTTCTTCTGTGTGCAATTTTTTTTTTGGGAATAAATGGTCTCAGTGATATTTTTAGTGTCCCTTGAAGGTCAAATTAAGTGTCATCTGTCCCTTTAAACAGAGAATTCCCAGTTTTCTCTCACTTTCTCGAACATTCGATTTGATAGTGTTACAACGATGGGGGTCATGAGAAAGAAGAGAGAGGGAAAGGGGGCTAACATTTTCAAACGCTTATATCTCAAAAACCAAAAAAGCTACCGAAAAATTAGTAGCTAGTAAGATGTAGCTCTTAGAATGATCTATTTTCTGTCGTTTAGAATTTTAAGGTAGCATTTTCGGTTTTTGAGATATAAGCATTTAAAGATGAAAGTCATTAAAAAGTGTGCGGATATAGCGCCAAAACTTCAAACCCTTATATCTCAAAAACCAAAAAAGTTAGCTAAAAATTGTTAATTAGTAAAATGTAGTTTATAAAATTTTCTAAATTTTGATAATTAAAGTCTTCAACTTTGCATTTTCAGTTCCTGAGAAATAAGCCTCCCAAGAGAGGAAGTAATGTTTCCAATTGAATATATGACTCATAAGTGTCAATTGGTTGTAAAAACAAAGAAAGACCATGTCTTGTTATACATATTACACATGTGTATAGGCTAATGAGTCACAAGTGGAAGTGAGAAAAGTATGAAGCTGCTAAATTTCAAGGTTGGGAATTGGTGACGTAACTGACCATAACAGGTGGAGGATTTTTTTTGAGGTTTTTCTAGAATCCTGAGGTTTTAAATTTTAAGATTTCTCGTATTTTTCAAAAAAAAATTTTACGAAAATCCTGATTTTCAAAATTTTTCATTTTAGTGGTTTTTTGAACCAAATTTTTACTTAAACTTAAAATTTTTCAGATTCCCAAAACACTCCTAAAATACAACATTTTCCTTTTTTTTTGTTGGTATTAAGTATTTTTCAAGTTCTCAAGTGTTATTTTGTCCGAAATTTCTTGTTTCTGCTATTTCCAGTTTTTCCAGGCTCTCATGATAATTTCTAATTAACCGTCTAGCACTTTTTCAGCTCAATTATCTCGATTCCTATAAGAATTATCAAAAAGTGGTAAACTGATAAAAAGTTTATCATTTTATAACTTACATTTTACTAGTTGACCACTTTTTGATATCTCTCATGGGAGCCGAGATATATTTGATCAAAGTGCAAGTGTGTCAATGGCGCTGACAGCGTCGCCAGTATCGGCGCGTGTTATAAGCTTAATTATCTCGTTACCCATAAAAGATATTGAAGAGCGGTCCACTGATAAAATATTTGTCATAATATCACCAACATTTTATCAGTTGACAAATTTTTGATATCTCTTATAGGAACTGATATAACTCAGCTCAAAGTGGAGCTACATCAGTAGGAATACGGTAGCTTACCCCCTTCCAGTTTTTCTTTCACTGAATGGAGTTGAAACAATGTAGCTACAGTAATCAAACTACAATAATTGAGAAAATCGGTTTTTTGAGATTCTGAACCATGTTTATTGATATTTAGAAGCTAAAAAAATGATGGAAATCAAAATTTCAAACTGAAAATGCTTTGTGTACTCTTCAGGCTACAGTAACCCAGGAAATTCGGAAAATCTGTTTGGTATTGAGCTAGAAACTTCTAGAAAAAATTTTCGAAAACTGAAATTTTGAATTAAAAATAGAAACCCCATTGCCTAAGCCTTTCATGTCCCTTTAAGCTTTAATATATCAATTGTTCTTCCTATGTTTCTTCTTGAACATCTAACCGATATCAATTTTTTCTGTCTTTGTGAGGTCATTCAAACAATAGGCCCCAAAAATGACGACATCTGTTTCCTTGTATCATTATTCAGAATCTCAAAAGAAAAGAAGACGTTTGAGTATTAGAAGTACACAAGAAAAAGGAAACAGGTTATCTCGAGGTAGGTATTGCCATCGAAGGGGGTGGGAAATTGGAAGCTAGGAGAGAAAAAAAAGAGAAGAAGAGAGATTAGCCGGTGTAGATAGAAATAGAAACGAATTTGGAAAGGAAGTCATTTTTGGCAGTTTCTTGGTGACTGAGTCGAAATTGAGAAGTTGTTTTCTTTTTTTTTCTTAGATTCTTAGATTCTTAGATTCTTAGATTCTTAGATTCTTAGATTCTTAGATTCTTAGATTCTTAGATTCTTAGATTCTTAGATTCTTAGATTCTTAGATTCTTAGATTCTTAGATTCTTAGATTCTTAGATTCTTAGATTCTTAGATTCTTAGATTCTTAGATTCTTAGATTCTTAGATTCTTAGATTCTTAGATTCTTAGATTCTTAGATTCTTAGATTCTTAGATTCTTAGATTCTTAGATTCTTAGATTCTTAGATTCTTCTTAGATTCTCCTTTTCCAGTTTTTCCAAATATTACGATTCTCGAACCTTCTAGAAACTCTCGAATTGTAACAATTTCTTGATTAATGACCCCAGTCTCACTATCACTTCGCCAAACCATCTAAGCTCCGCCCCTTTTTCTCTCCCTTGTACTTTACTACTTGAATGAGGTAGAACAAATTGTATTTGCCACCAGAAGACACAACAAACTGAAACCAGCCACATAACCAGCTTCATTCGCCCCTCTTATTCCCTCGCTGCCATCCGTTTGATGAGATTCGTCTGAATACTCGAAGATGAAGACGTCGGTTGTCTTCTTACTCCTCGTGGTCGCGGTTATTGAGGTAAGTCATTTACAAAAAAAAAGAAAAAAGAGAACTGAAGAGAGTGGGATTCGAACCCACGCCCCCGAAGGGACTGGTGCCTTAAACCAGCGCCTTGGACCGCTCGGCCATCTCTCCGCCGATGATAAGAGGTCGGCAGGACGTACACATACGATGGGAAAAGTGGAGGTCAGAGGGGGCGCGAGGAGGGAGAATAGAACATTTTGGGGTGAATTCAGTATGATAAGGAAACGATTTTCGGTTTAAAAACGTGACTTCTACTGTTTATCAGTAGCAGGAGGTAATTGAAAAACTACACTGTAAAGTGGTCTCGAAAGCCAAACATCAATTTGTAACCAGTACCGGTTTTTGTATGAAAAGATTTAGATATTCAATTAGATATTCTTGACAAACATAGGAAGTCAAAGGCAGAAAAAAAATGAAAAAGGAATTTCAAATTTTCCGCCAAACCAATTTTTTCCAGGCCCAAGACTTCATGTCTTTCCTCAAACCGTTCATTGGAGGCGCCGGTGGAGGTGGTGGTGGCAACCCATTTGCAAATCCACAAGCCATTGGGGTGAGTTTATTGGGAAACCTCATAAAAATAAAGAAAAATAGAGTAAAAAACTGAAAAATAAGCTAAAAACTACCCCTAGGAGCTAAAATTCGGGAGAGTGAAAGAGCTAGAGAGGGTAGAGAAGCAGACGATTGATTTTATAGGATTTAAAGGATTGTATCTCAGTTAGTTTTTGAGATATTAAAATTTTGCCAACTAGTGAAATGTATAAAATTTTATAAGCTACAATTTCCTAGTTGAAAAATTTATGCTAGCTTTTTTAGTTACCGAGATATGAAGGGTTTTCTGCATTTACTTCCTCATTCTGATCCTGTAACTTCAAAACCTTGTATCTCCGTTCAAAGTTAACTTATCACAATTAAATAAAAAAGTAAAATATGGAAAATGTTAAGCTCTACAAATTACTAATTACCACATTTTTCCTATCGTTTTTAGTTTCCGAGATACGCGCCGTTTTCCTGTCAGGTGACGCTGAAAAAAAAAGCGAAAGCGCTAACAAGGCTATAGTCATTGGATTTGCATCGTGTTACGCAATAGGAGAAAGAAGAAGAATGAAAGATCTATTTGCATAGATATATACCAATGAATTGGCATTGAAAACCGAACAGAAAGTGAAGATTTAGCGGGGAGGGAGAGAGTGAGAGCGACGCAGAGAAAATTGGGACAAGCAGACACACAGAGGGACTTTTTCAGGGACTATCCAACAATTTGCTGGAAATGGAGGTGGTGGATTTGGATCATTATTGGGAGCAGTCGCACCGGTGAGTTTCTTAACTGTAGTGAGATGTTATATCCCATAGAATATTCAAGAACAAGCCCATTGCTCATCGTAGACCGGCTAAACCGGCCGGAAAACCAAAGCCAGGAAGGCCAAAGCCAGGAAAACCAGGAAGAAGACCGAAAGTAAATTGAAAAAAAAACGCAAAAAAATATTCCAAAATAAAGCATGTTTTTGGAAAAATGGAATCGGTCGTAGTTGATCTTGCTCATGCAAAAAAGTAGATCGAAACTTGTCCAAATGAGTTCAAATTTTTTGAGTAGATCAAACAAAACTAAAACTTTATTTTTGTAGTTGATACATTTTTTGTGAAAGTGCGCTCTGAGGAGATATGCCACGTGGAAGAGCTCCTCATTGTTTGGCGCCGGCGCTGAGGACCCTCTTCTTCCACGTGGAATATCTCATTAGAGCGCTGTTGGATTTGTCTGAAACTTTCAGAAGATACTAAACAGAAATAGAGCTTCATTTCTGTAATTGACAACTTTTCCGTAAAATCAGGCTCTGAAGAGATATGTCACGTGGAAGAGCTCCTCTTTTTTGGAGACCTCCAGGGGGGCGCCCACCCCCTTTGAAAAGGGGGCCGCCCCCTTTTTTGGCGCCTCCGCTGAGGAGCCCTTCTTCCACGTGGGGTATCTCTCCAGGGCTTAATTGTACAAAAAAGTTATTGACTACAAAAATAAAGCTCTTATTTTGTTTAGTATTCTCTTGAATTTTCAGACAAATCGAACGGCGTTCTAAAGAGATATGCGTAATGGAAGAAGAGGTCTTACTCCTGCGGGTGCTTAGAGCAGGGGTGCTTCCACAACGCATATCTCCGTAGAGCGCACTTGCACAAAAAAGTTGCCAACTACAAAAATGTAGCTCTAGTTCTGTTTGATCTAATTTCAAATTGTTCTCAAAGTTTATTCAAATCTAGGAATGTCAAATAGCATGAAATATATTTTTTAGTTTTTGGAGTTCATTTTTGGCATGTTAATGTTCTGGTGAAGGGTCTTGTCCTGTACTTTGACACTAATTAACTTTTTAATTAACTATCCTTAATAACCCTCTCAATTTTCAGAAACCCGCGCCAGCACCACGTCCAGCTCCAGGCCCAGCCGCCGTAGCTCCAACCATCGAGGACTACAACACAGATATTGATGTTCCGGCGCCGGCTCCGAAACCCAAGGCTCGCGCGGCGGCTCATCGAAGACCCCAAGGTGATGATGACGACGATATTGATATGTCTCTTACCCAGCTTGGCTAGAAAAATTGTGAAACTTTTTTGACCAAAAAAAAACGAATCTCGGTGACTACTTTACTAATAATTGTGTCTCTGTGTATATGTACTAACTGTTTGGCGCCAAATTTGAAATTTTTGAATTTGGCACTAAAAAATTGCTTTGTTTGTTTGAAGTGAATACGAGTGAGAGCTAGAAAAAACAGAAATTTACAGTGATTACAGTTTTTCAGTTTTTTGTCTTTCTGTGATTTTTGAATTTCCCGCCCATCCGCTTTTTGTGATCTCTGTGAATTTCTTGTTATTTTTTGATGTATTTGCTCTTCTCTCGTTTTCACTTTATTCAAACAAATAAATGATTTTTTAAAAGTTTAATTTTCAAACTATACAATTATCAGCATAATCTGATCGGCTTTAGCTGAGAAAATGGTTCATATCTCATCCCAAACTGATCTGATTTCATAAAAAATTTATGGATTTGAAGAGAAAAAAAATTTCTCAGCCAGTAATATAAATTTCAAAAAAATCGGCTTATTTTGAGCTGAGAAAACTTGGCGTACTTGCTCTAATAGAAGCCTACCTTATGCCTCCACTTTGAGCTCAATTATCTGGGTTCCCATAAGAGATATCCAAAATTTGTTCATTAATAAAATATTTATGATATTATGATAAACAATTTATCAGTTGACCGCTTTTCGATATCTTTTATAGGAACGGAGATAATTGAGCTCAAAGAAAACGGTTTGGCTGGGTTTATATTTGAGGGGCGGTATCTTTAAAAGCGCATATCTCAAGAACTGTTTCAGTTACAGTAAAGTCGTAAACTACAAAAATGTGAAACACAAAATTTTAAAATTAAAAACGCAAAATGTAAAAGTTTTCAGCCGACGCCCCGCCCCCTCCACCTCAAGAATCCTTCCGTCAACCACGCACCAAGCAGGAGAAGATCGATAGATGGAGAAACATCGCCCGAACGTTCTCCCCATTCTTTTTCGCCGACGCCGAGTCACAAAACACAACGCCGTCTCCACAATTCAATAATTATATCTGGCAACAAAATGCTCCGGCTGTGACGCCTGAGCCATTTACATTTGCTCCGTTCTCATTCCCAACACTAGCTCCACCGGTGACGTTGGCTCCACCGGTCGGATCTGGCGGACCAACGCTGGAACCATTCTTGCCGACTACAGCTAGTCCGAAACTATTGGCTCATAACACTGCTAGGGTGAGTTGGGGTCAAATTTTTGGCGTCCGTTTGGAGTTATCGGTTTATAAGCGCACACTTTCGTAGCTGTACCGGCTGCGTCGGCCGCGACCGCGTAGCTCAACATGTTGTTTTGAAATAGTGTCATATTTGCACTCATTTGAATGCTCAAAAAGAGCTGAATTCAAAATTATAAATTTAAAAAAATTTAGTCAACATCTAAGCGAGATAATATCATTTGAAAATGACTCTACCCATACATCCCATCGGTCTTCTTGACATGCTACCTTGACTAGCCATATCTCGGTTCCTGTAAGAGATAAGAATTTTATCAGTTGACCACTTTTTGATATCTTGCTCTAGAAATGAGATATAAAGGCTCAAAGTTAGCGGTTGTGGGAGCGCATTCTATTAGGGTAATTCTCCAATACTTGACATACGCTTTCAGATGATTCGAGAGATCGCCACATTCTCCGATGGAGGAAAGTCTCGAGATCAAGACTTTGGAGCCGTTCAAACCCTCATGCAGGCGTTCTTTGAAGCCGTAGCCACTGGAAACAATAATGGAGCGGTGGCAACGGGACCAGCTGTTGGGACACCGTTGCGGGTAAGTTTTAAAAAATCGAATAACTTTTTTCAAACAAAACATTTTCGGATTTTCTAAACTGGTAAATGAAGAACTTGAGAAAATCTACAAAATGATGTGAAACACTACTACTCTAAATCATATTACTTTCCCAGCATGCGCCTTTAAAAATAGATTAAGGATGTGTGTTCACCAACTCCGTGGAAACGCTCTATAATTGAATACTAGTCAAATTATATATGACTTTAGAACTTTTTGAGTCCTCTAACTTGCGATTTAAATTTTTAAAATTGATCACCCAGCAAGAAAGTTACACCTGTTTGAATTTAGGATGCTCCAATGCTCCAAGCCCATCGAGACGGCACAGAGCTTGGCGCAAATCGAGCACTCACCAATAAACTTTTCGAGTCCGACATGGTCCTTACCGTTCCACAAATGAAGGCGTGAGTTTTTAGACCGCTCCGACCGCCTCGACCGCCTGAAAATTTCAGAGTAGTGCTTGCGGCTCAAGAGGCTCGGAACCCGCACGGACGTAAGAAGAGAAAAGTGATCACCGGATCGGTCTACCGCTGGAAAAGTGTGATCCCTTATCGATTCAAGGGTGGAGACTCAAAATGGAAGAAATTGATCAAAGAGGGACTAGGCCTATGGGAAAAGGAGACATGTGTGCGGTGGAGCGAAAATGGTCCCGGCAAGGATTATGTGATTTTCTTTAGAGGATCAGGGTATGGCTTAAATTTCATGCTGAATCGATTAGTGCTTAGATCATACCGCTATCTTCAAAACTAGAAAAGTTATAAAAAATTTCAGATGCTACTCATCGGTTGGGCGAACTGGAGGCTCTCAACTGATATCGATTGGCTATGGATGTGAAGACGTGGGTTTTGATTTTAATTTTTATCAAAATTCAAATCCTCGCCTGCAGAAAGGAATCGTAGCTCACGAAGTGGGCCACTCGCTAGGATTCTGGCATGAGCAATCTCGTCCCGATCGTGATCAATACATCCACTTGAGAAAAGAGTGGATCATTAAAGGAACCGACGGAAACTTCGAGAAACGATCTTGGGAAGAAATCGAGGATATGGGAGTGCCATATGATATCGGAAGTGTGATGCATTATGGGTCCAATGCGTTTACCAAGGATTGGGATCAAATTACCATTGAAACACAGGACAAACGGTATCAAGGAACTATTGGACAACGACAAAAACTTTCGTTTATCGATGTAAAGCAAGTGAACAGACTTTATTGTAATTGTAAGTTCCTTACAAGTTGCTAGAGAAGTGGAATACATCCGAAAAAAAGAAAAAAGCATTTGACCACTGAGCGGATCGAACGCCCAACCTTTCGATCTGGAGTCGAACGCGCTACCATTGCGCCAAGCAGTCACGCTTAGAGAGAAGGGCAGAGGGCGTACACATGAGGGGGTAAAAGAGGGGGAGGCGAGAGGGGGAGGCGTGGGGCAAATGTCATGTGTTAAAAAAATCCAGGGAAAATTAAAACTCCTTAATTACCCCTAATTACTCCCAAATTTTCAGCGGTTTGCCCAGTAGCACTTGCATGTCAACACGGGGGTTACCCAGACCCCAATAACTGCTCGGTTTGTAAATGTCCAGATGGTCTAGGAGGAAAACTATGTGGAAGAGTTGCCAAAGGAACGGATCATGGTAATTAAGTAATTAATTATGCTCTAATTAAGTCAATTTTTAGATAAGTGTGGTGGTGAACTGGTGGCAACTCCAGAGTGGCAAGAAATGATCTATAAAGGGAAGAGAACTTGTAACTGGAGGGTTAAGGTATACTGTAGCTTTTGGGTGAAGAATGAGCAATCAGGAAATTTATTTAGAGTCCAAATGGAGGCAGAGTTCGTCTGGTGCTCACCGAGCTACGGTATCAGTGTGCGACGTCATGCAAAGCTTATATCGAGATTAAGCATAATACGGATTTCCAGCAAACTGGCTTCAGAGTTTGGTAAGTTATTTTTAGGACATCCGGACACACAGACACACTTTTAGCTGCTTCAACAAAACCTATGATGTCATTTCCGACCAATCGGAGGCACTTATTTTGTCCAATGCCAATATTGTGGATTATGAAGTTTCTTATAAGCTTCAGTGGATTCAAGGTAGGACATCCATAAGGCCAGGGCTGTCGTACGTCCGGCCGCGGCCGGCCGATAATTCGGTTTGACCGTGATCTTGTACCTAGACCAAAATACTCTACAGTAATCCTCAAACAAAACTTTTCAGACAACGGAAAACCGCTACCACCACCGAAACCTACATCCACATGGGTGCCAGGCAAAGAGAATCGTCCATTCCGTGGAGTGGAAAATACGGGCGGCTCTATTGAAAAGTTCATTTTGCAAGCGATTCCTAAAATCCGAGATTCGCATCGACCACTGGAAAGTATTACAAGTATTGTGGCTGAGTATGGTCTGGCAACTCTACTTGGTATTTCTCATAATGGAAAGAAGTAGTAACACTCTGGGGGTTTAACTTTGAGCCGATTTATCTCGCCCCCCGTGAAAGATATCAAAAAATGATCAACTGATAAAATATTAGTCAAACTATGATAAACATTTTGTCAGTTGACCACACTCTGATATCTTCTAAAGTAAATGAGATACATGGGCTCAGATTTACTAATTGGTAATTATTGGATTCTCTTAATTATTGCATGTATATTGTCTGTACATTTTTGGATTCTATTAGACTTTGAAATTTTGTAGATTACCTATTTAAAATGGTATATTTGTATATTTGCAAAGTTTTGTGTATTTTTTTCTGTAAATTTTGAAAGGTATATAGTTATAGACTTCCTTAATTGCTCAAAATTTGATTTTAATTAGCCCCCGGGTAATTATTTTTATATTGTCTTTCAAGAAGGGATTTTTTAGTTGAATAAAGGTTTTTGACATTTTTTGCATTTTTTGGAATTTTGAATTTTCGGATTTTGGGATTTTTCGGAATTCTTGATTTATGAATTATTAGGAACTTTCAGCATTTTTGGAATTCCGGATTTTTTCAAATTTTCAGAATATAGAGTTTTTTTAAGGAGGACCGAGCCTTGACCAACTTCTTGAAGGCCCGTTCTAGCCCGTCGCAAGTATAGAGTGTTTAGATTTGGAATTTTTTGAAGTTTTGAGGATTTCGAAATTTTTGGATTGTTGAAAGTTTTTTTGAAAATTTTGAAACTTTCGAAATGTTTGGAATTTCGGATTTTTTCAAATTTTTGGAATTTTTGAATTTTGGGAACTTTCGGATTTTTTTGGATTTTTACGAATTTTCGAAATGTTTGGAATTTTGGAGTTTCTCGAATTTTTGGAACTTTGGAACTTTCGGCATTTTTGGATTTTCACAGATTTTCGAAATTTATAGAATTTTTGTATTCTTGGAACTTTGATAATTTCGAAATTTTTGGATTTTTTGGAATTTTCGGATTTTTTGATTTTGTCGAGTATTCAAATATTTGGGATTTTTGGAATCTTTGGAATCTTGGATTTTTGGGATTTTCGGCTTTTTTGAAATTTTTGGGAAATCTGCGAAAAATCAAATTTTCAGATCTATCAAAACTTTATTCGACTTTTCAGTTCAAAAATAAATACATACAAATAGAAACCCGTCCACAAAAAAAGTATCAGTAATCCATTCCTCAAACATTTCCATTCTCATAAAGCTTATTCACTTTTCGGCAAACATCGGTATCTGTGAAATGGAGACGAGTATTCAATGCTGCCATTGGACTCATAAAACCATTTTTTTCGACAAAATCATACACTTCACGCTTCCATTTTGTCTCGAATTGTTCCATATCTCTGAAAAAATTGTTCTCGTTTTTCGGTTACAGTAATCCCTTACATCTTTGACCTAATTTATCTGGGTTCGTGTAAGAGATATCAAAAAGTTGTCAACTAATAAAATATTTTTGGTATTGTGACAAACATCTTATCAGTTTATCACTTTTTGATATCTCTAACAGAAACCGAAATAAATTGACTTGAAGGTGGTAGGTTTGAAAGCACCTCACATCCTCTACCAGAACACCCCAACTTTTAACTTTGAGCCAGATTATCTTGGTCCCTGTAAAAGATATTAAAGCCTAATCAACTGATAAAATGTTGCCTATATTATCGTTAACATTTTGTTAGTTGACCACATTTTGATATTTTGTATAAAAAATGAGATATAAGGGCACAAAATTGACAGGATTCTTGAGATTCTTCGGGTCTCTCAAAATGTTGGATTTCCGAGAATTACCGGCTTTTTAGAGTTTTTTAAGGGAGACTAGGACTTTGAGTTATTTTCAACTGTAAGGGGATAGGTCTATCCTAATTTCCTAACGTCCGGATGTCCACCAAAAAATCAATAAACCAACCTTGTCAATACCATAGTTGGATACTTCAGTGGTGTACTCAAAATCATGTATTGATACTCTCCCTCATCATTTAAACCACCGATTCGGACTGGGAAAACTGAAAAATTGAGATTTTTAGAGATTTCTGTCAAAAATTACAGTTTTGGAACATTGAAAAATTTTCGAGATAAAGAAAAAGTGCTAACAAAAAGTCTGAATTTTCAATGGTTTTTTTGCTAAAAATGGTCAACTTTGGATGCTTACAAAACATAGTAGAACTAGTTGGATTTGTCTGAAATTTTCAGAGAATACTGAACAAAAATAGAGCTTCATTTTTGTAGTTGGCAACTTTTTAGTAAAATCAAAGCCTAGGGAGATATGCCACGTAGAAGAAGGGGTCCTCAGCGCCGGTGCCAAGGAAGGGGGTGGACCACCTCCGGTGGTGTCTCCAAGAAAGAGGTGGAGCTCTTCCACGTGGCGTATCTCTTCAGGGCCTAATTTTACAAAAAAGTTGTCAACGACAAAAATTAAGCTTTGGTTTTGTTTAGTATACTCTACAATTTTCAAACAAATCCTACTAAATCCACCATATTTTTAAGCGTTTAAAATTGGCCACTTTCCATAAACAGTAAGTGGAATTAGGCGAATTCTTTGGCAGGTACTTAAATGTCCCTCACATATATTTTTTACGAAAAAATGTAAAACTCACATGGACACTGATCCCTTTCATGTCCAGTTGTAATCAAAACTGCGCCAGGTTCCGGTCCGACCATGCTACCGTAACCCTCATTTGTGACAACGTCATTGTTCAGAAAAGCGTACTGTTTAGATGTGAATGTTGCAGTGTAAGGGGTTTGAAGAACCATGTCGACTGAAAATGGTTTTTGTTCAATTTTCCCAAAAACTAACTCACAATAAAAAATGCCGCAATCCTCCTTGTGCACTTCCTTTGAATCAACTACCGTATACCATTTTCCCATGAACTTCTCGATTTGCATATCTGCCATTGAGAAAAACAGCGAGTTGTATTGTTTGGTGGCCACTTCGTCCATTTGGAACGATTGGAGAAGCTGGAATTATTATTTTTGGGGAATTTCAGTAAAAATTGACATTTTTAGATGTTTTTAAGTTGAAAAATAGTCAATTTTGAATGTCTGAAAATTAGAATAGATTTTTTGGATTAGTCTGAATTTTTCAGGGTATAGAGAACAGAGCTAGATCTGCATTTTTGTAGTTGACAACTTTTTTGTGAAATATAAGCCTGAGGAGATATGCCACGTGGAAGAAGGAGGTCCTCACCGGCGGCGC